GTCTATTTTCTACTAAATGACCATGCTGGATAATATCCCTAGAAACCTCAACCAGCAGCTGTGTATCTTCTTCCAGGTCTGGAGACAAGGTCTATGACGCAGGAGGAGTTATTAATATATCGAAACTCTGATTGGCCTGCACACTCACACCAGGTCTCATTCCATCTGGTGAGTGTGTGAAGGTTGAGGGAAGCACGTTGGTGGAAAGGACACATAAAGTGGAAATAAGCGTTGTACGAAGGACACTTTTTGTGGATTTAAGCACTATATCAAAAACGATTTACACTTTTTACGCTTTATAAGTAGTTTTTGATGTTTACACTAGACACTGATGGAGAAATAAGTGTTTGGTTATTGCTTATAAGTATTTCTGGTAGCTAATATTAATGAAACTCATTTACTCATTATGTATTAGTATATGTTTAACCCTTCAGGTGGCGGAGGTGTTTGATACTATTACATTTTGTCTATTACAGGGTCCATCTAAATACAGCAGATAGAAATGTGGCCAGGGAAGACACATCCACTTCTCAGAGAGGGGAAAAATAATACAATGAATAGAACCTAAAGTGACACTGAATTCAGGAGTTAACTCTTAACAATGCATTCAAGTACCCTAACTATTAACAGAACTATCCCTTATTTGTGTATCACTCGGCTGTAGATCCTGAAATCATCTCTGAATTGGTGCTGACACTGTCCTTTCTTCGGGAGGGGGGCTACTTTTGTTCCCCATGGTCCCTGTGTGTGTTGTAAAGTAGTCACCACTCTAAGCTCACTCCTGGGATGGACTACAATCTCACGTTTAGTTTACTAATTTGGCATGTACTTTGTAGCTGCTACATTGGGATGTTGATGTGACATAATACTGGCGTATTCTATGCTGTATGCCTATAGGCCTCTATTTGCACCCGTGTGCATCAGCCCTAAAACTGCATTTTACCCAACTTCATAGAAAGGTTTGATGCTCACTCAGCTTTGGGCTTCACTATTTTTTAGTATCAATGCCCATTCACACTGGCCCATTTTAGCAGACGGGCTAGTGTGAACTTGCTCTAATACTAAAAACATATGCATTAGGACCCGTCTACGTTTTTGTGGCAGGCTAGTGCATTGAGGCGACACAACGTACACCGCCAGAGCTGTCACTGTTTCCTTTTTTCCTTTTAACTTTATGTAGTGTGTACAATGTGTACACCTTATTCATCACTTGTTCTGTCTGATGTAGGGGATCCTGTGAGACCCCGAAACGTCACATTGAATGTATCACGCTATGCTGCTCGTATGTCAATAAACAGACACATTTGATTCACTATTTGGAGTGCCAGTGTCCCTATATCTTCTACTAGCACCGTATTCAGGTCTTCGTACAGCAGAGTGGTGCGCTGCAATAAAATGCAGGATGTTTGTATTTTTTTGCAGTACACCACTCATCGCCCCCATGTTGTGGTGTGAATGGGACACATAAAAAACATCTGTTTACTATGCGGGGACCTGTGTTGAATCGGTGCAGAAAACGCAGGTCAGTGCAGTATGTGTGAAAGGACCCTTAGTGACACATTACTGGGGCAATACTTCCCAGAGCTACAGCTTGCACACACTTCTTTTGCCAGCAGCATAGTTGAAGAATACATAACAAGGGGTATTAAAGGAAAGCTCCAGAAACAACATATTCCAGGATAATGCTACTAGAGAGATTATAACCAAATAGCTGAATGTATTCTAGTAAGTGTTCTCAGCCACATAAACTGTAAAGCTGTGTTTGAGGTTTATTAATTAGATTCCTGGCAAACATAGAAAGAACATTTTTGGCACGGCTTACATTATTCTATGTTTCTTGTGTGTAATTTTCTTGTCTACCGCTTCCCTCACATGTCAGCCACCTTAAGAAATAACACCATAGTAATAATAATAATCTTAATAATAATAATGAAAATGAAACAATGCAGGTTGTGGCTAAGATGGCTTTAAAGCAAACCTGTGACAAGCAAGAACAACATATGAGAAATTGCAGAAGCCAAATCAACATTTAGGCTCAACAATGCAATTGCAGGTAGGACAACGCATGTCAGTGCATGCATGAATTAGCCTGTAGTGAATAAATGTAACAGCCAGCACACCAGACAGATAGTGTATATAGTAGAATTTTGAAGTGGCAAGAAGCAACATACATCAATTTAACTGTACATGACGTCCCTGAAGAATCAGCAGTGGAGATGTTGGCAGCAGGTGACGCAGTGGCGACGCGTCTCGTCATTGATGGAGGACAGCACAGGAGGAGGTAGCTGTGGGCTATAATCCACGTGTATGCTGTGCACACTTGCAGATTATGGTAAAAGCTCACCACCACCAATGATGTTTACTTCGGTTTTAAGGTTTTCATTTGGGGTTTTTTTTATACAGTATATCATGTTTTATTTTTACATGCTTCCTCTTTCAAGTGTTTAATGTTGTTTTAAATCTAGAGATTTGTTTTAGCAACCCTTTGCAGAATAAATTAGTCACTACTTCCTGCTAAGAAATCAGCCACAGACGGAGTGCATTGTTTTGAATGATTTGGCCAACTCAGCGACTTGCAAAATAAACAAGAGGAGTAAGGCCTCATACACACCAGTGCAATTTGTCCTGCGTCTACTGTCGCGCTGCACTGTACAACAACAAAAATCATATTATTCCTGACGGTGCCTGTTCACATCAATGCAACATGGATTTTTAGAACGGTGCTGGTACTTCTTTTGGTGCTGCACAGTGCATTTTTGGCCCCATAGTCTTCAACAGAAGCACATGAAAAATGCATGTACATAAAGTGCTTTAAGGAGAAGTATGGGGAAAGTGAAATGCATCATCCCCATAGTTACAGTCCACGTGTGACACTACAGCTGTTACATGTCGGCTCTATAGATTGAGAGCTGAGTGATCACAAACCGCTGATCGCTCAGCTCACAGTTTCCAGGGGCGGGGGTGGGCACATCTGGATGTGGATCTAAAGAGGCAGAGCCAGCTGTCAATCATGCAGCTGGGTGGATCCTGACAATATTGTTCGGATCCTTGCTGGCAGCAGCTCAGCTTTGCGCTGTCAGCATACAGAGGACCATAGCCTGCTAGAGACTGACTTTTGGGTCACAGGAAATTCTCTCCTGTGACCCAAAAGAGAATAAATGTCAAAAAAGGTTTGGCCATAGTTCTCTTTTAAAGTCTCCTCAAAAGGACTAATGAGGTCACAGCAGATATTGCTTATCATTGGCCAAAATAAAAGAATAAAGCATGAAAACGCATAAAAAATGCACTACATATATGCACTTAAAAATGCGCAATTATGCAGGAGCACTAGTGTGAACCTAGGCTTCTGTAGCACTATAAGGCTCCATTCACACAGTTATCCGCACATATTCAGCTGGCCGAATACGTGCGGAGACGCTCTAAACAGAAAAGACAATGCACTTTAATGTGCACTGTTCAGACATTTGCGGCAGACGCACAATACAAAACCGCACGGCCCGCAAAAAAGTACAAGTGCAATTTTTTGACGGATTCCGCACATTGGTGGATTTATAATAGCCACAAACACATGGAATCTGTGCAGGTGAAAGATTTTAGCGTTTGCGTTGCCACGCAGTCTTCCGCACATGGAATGGAGCCTTAGGCAGGAAGCAGAACCTGCACATGACATGAGCAAAAATGGCTGCCCCTGTGCACACACAGCATTGCATGTGATCTATAGGAAGGGCCCATTTACACTCGTGTACATTTTCGTGTGTACTAATACTTTTTGGCATCTTGATGCACGTTGCATTGAGCACACTGATTCATTTTCAGGGGTCTCTCATGCATGCATGTACCACTTTTCTCCAGTGCAACGCAATGCATAGTATTCTGGTACCGGGTGTTGCTGTACACTGCAGCCATTTAAATGGCATCTGCCACACTGTAACGCATGCTAGGTGTGTTGTGTGATAGTGTGTGATATTGTGTGATTAATGGGCACTTAGGTTTGAATGGGCCATAACAAATTTTAAACTACAACACATAAAAAAAAGGTTCACAAACATGCGAGGGCTCACAGACACCACATCACATGTGTTCACGTGCACTGATGATGTGCGTTGTGGTGCATTATTGCTTGTGCTGCTATGCATTGTTTACATACGGTGCAGATCTTTTTGATTTTTTTAAAGACATTCATTTTTATTTTAGGTAATGCACTCTGCAGTCCTGAAGTGCGTCAGAATGAGCTGGTACCGTAAAATGCTGTCTGCCTGCACCCTAAAAACACATTACACCCCATTTGAATCTTCTACCTCCACCATATTTAAAAGCAAAACCAGTTGGGCTCAGTCCAACCAAAAACTTGTACTGACACACCACCCTACCAGCCCAATCAGTTGTGAATAGGACATCCCCCACCCCCCATCTACACGTCGCCAATGGGCGGGGAATGCTCCAGCCAAAACTGATTGGGCCGGGAGCAAGGGTGTCAATTGCAGTTTTGGCAGAATTGGATGAACTCTGGCCAATAAGGCTCATACCAAGTCCCCCACGAAAGCAAAAGCCTGTGCATGGCTCTCATGAGGCATTGATCTCAGTTGCAATACTCTGCAAGCTTCAATACAAAATAATAAATGCAGATTTTATTTTAAACTGTGGGTGCATTTTTAATATTTTAGCAAAATATGGACTTTGCCTTTAAATCCTATGTACCAGCTATGAATGGTCACCTCATCACAACCAAGGACGGCGAAAGCATGAGACAAAGGATCCATCATCCCGATATCTATAATTCTCCACATACATAGAGAAGGAGGTGAGGGTGTGTGTCCATTCATACATGACACCCTGTCACAAGCAGACAGCTGATCACCATACAGCCATGTGTGTGATAGGGAAGCCCAGGACATACACACAGCCCCTCCTCCACTACCCCCCAATACACAGCCCCTCCGTACACAGCTCAGACAAAAGGCACCATCCTGCCATTCACATTGCGATCACTCAGCACCTACCGAGAACAGGGTGGCGTAGAAGGACAGGGAGAATTTGATGCAGTAGTAGGAGCGCAGGGTGGCCCTCCATGTGTCACCTCCAGACATATCTGCTGATCACAAGCCGGGGGCTCCGTCCTCCTCCTCACTCATTGTAAGCACACACAGCACTTCCGTGTGGAGGAGAAACAGAAAGTGAATACAGGGAGGGGACATCATCAAACCCTTCAATGCCCGGCCTCCTGACATCACCTGCCATGACACACACCTCTCCTCACCGAGCCTGGGGCTGTGTCCCAGCAGATGACATGTCCCCAAACCAAACTAATGCCCCCTCACTAATAATGTCCACACACAAATAATGTCCCATCACTAATAATTTCCCCTCACTAATGTCCACACACAAATAATGTCCCCTCACTAATGTCCACACACAAATAATGTCCCCTCACTAATATCCACACACAAATAATGTCCCCTCACTAATAATGTCCCCATCCTAATAATGTCCCTCACTAATGTCCACACACAAATAATGTCCCCTCACTAATGTCCACACACAAATAATGTCCCCTCACTAATGTCCACACACAAATAATGTCCCCTCACTAATAATGTCCCCGTTCGGGGGGACATTATTACGTTGCATCTACGTTCGGACAGTTGACCGAACGTAGATGCAATCTGTCTGCACATAGGTCATTTGTCCCTAGCCATCGGGTTACCGCTAAATGTGGAAATACATGGGAATAGCGGAGGACATCTGCGGCTCTTGTGGGCCTGTCATTGCTTTATACAACATTCCCAGATGCAGCTGTCCACATACCCTTGTGATTCCAGCTGCAAGATCCCGCAGTCCAAACCTATTGGTGTGTGTGTGAATGAGAACATTTACCACACAAACGCTTACTTCACAAGCTGAGGGCTATGGGTAATGTAACTATGTACAACGTGACAATTGCTATTAAACCCTCCATGTAAAATGCAATACGTAGCAGCATACTATAGGATTCACCATGTTTACTTTCTGTGGGCAACCCGTCATTTCTGTGCAATCTTCATTTGAAGCCTCTACAGGTGAAACTCGAATAATTAGAATATCGTGCAAAAGTAATTGCAGTAAGTGCTGCAAAAGGGGCCCAAACCAAGTACTGAGAACATATGCATGCTTGTACTTTTCAGAGGTCCGATATTGTTCTATGTACCATCCTTGTTTTATTGATTGCATGTAATATTCTAATTTTCTGAGATTGTGGATTTGGGGTTTTCATGAGGTGTAAGCCATAGTCATCACAATTATGACAAATCACGGCTTGAATTATCTTGCTTTGCATGTAATGAGTCTATCTCGTATATTAGTTTCACCTTTTAAGTTGCATTAGTGAAATAAATGAACTTTGCACGATATTCTAATTGAGTTTCACCTGTATATAAAAAGTTGAAGGAGTGAGCGTACATGCTTAAGGAATGACTGCTAAACAAAAGTAAGAGAACGGAGGTATATTCTAAAAATGAATGGATGCTGTAGGTTGTCCTTATGTAGGGATGTCCCGATATCGATACTAGTATCAGTATCAGGGGCCGATACATGGCATTTTCAGAAGTACTTGTACTCATGAAAATGCCCCGATACTGCCCTTTAAATTTTTTAATCGGATTGGTCGCCTCAGGTCCCGCGCTTGTGAGGTCCTGAAGCAGTCTTCCGGGGACCTGGCAGTAGCTTTCTTTGACGCTGCCTGCCAGGTCCACGTCTCCTCCTCCTGATTCAAGGTGCAGGCAGTGCTTGAGGCAGCCCCACACCTTGAATACAGCCTCGGAGCGGGCACGTGACTGGCACCTGCTCCGTTCTACTCACTATGCACACGTAGAGCAGGCTCGGCACAGCACCTATCAGAGCCTGTAGAGAGACGCAATATGCAGCGCTGGAGAGACCTAATAGGCAGCCCTGGTGACATCTATACGCAGCCCTGCAGAGACTCATTGGCAGCCCTGGTGACATCTGGACACAGCTGGTGACATCTGGGCGCAGCCTGATGACATCTGGACGAAGCCTTGTGGGATCTGAACGCAGCCTTGTGGGATCTGAACGCAGCCTTGTGGGATCTGGACGCAGCCTGGTGAGATCTGGACGCGGCCTTTTGAGATCTGGATGCAGCCTGGTGGGATCTGGACTACATATGTCAACAGGCTGCGTACAGAGCTCACCAGGCTGTGTACAGATTCTGTATGCAGCCTGGTGAGATCTGTACACAGCTTTGGTGTGATTTGTATGCAGCCTGGTGGGATCTGGAGTGCAGATGTCACCAGGCTGCGTCCAGATTCTGAAAGCAGCCTGGTGATATCTGTATTTAGCTCTGGTGAGATCTATTCAGGTTTGGTGAGATCTGGACGCAGCCTGGTGGGATCTGGACTACATAGCTCACCAGGCTGCGTACAGAGCTCACCAGGTTGCATACAGATCTCACCAGGCTGCGTATAGATTCTGTACACAGCTTTGGTGAGATTTGTATGCAGTCTGGTGGGATCTGGAGTCCAGATGTCACCAGGCTGCAACCAGATATCACCAGGCTGCTTCCAGATTCTGAACGCAGCCTGGTGAGATCTGTTTTCAGCCCTGGTGACATCTGTACGCAGCCTGATGAGAAACTGCCCTAAAATCATTAGTCTGTATTGCTTTTAGAAAACAATGTCGCATGTCCCTTTAAGAAAAGTATCGGTAATTGGTATCGGCAAGTACCTGAGGGCAAGTAATTGGTCTTGAAAAAGTGGTATAGGGACATCCCTATCCTTATGTAAATACATTTTCTTAGATATAAAAACAAGGAAGGTATAAAATTATATTAAGGTTAAAATATTTTTATACTATTTCAAATGCAGATGAAATCACGTATAATAGATTCTGCTCCTTGATGTTTAAAGGTTTTACAGGGTTATTCACAAAAGGGTGAAGAGTTTTGAGAAGGCCGGAGAAGTAAACAATCTAGGAAAACATAGCTGAACTGCAAAGTGAGCTGAATTGGAGAATGTTTCCAGTTCAGCGATGTTGTCCTAGATTGTTCACTTCTCCTGCCTTCTCCAAACTCTTCACCCTTTTCCTTGCAGGGTCCTATGGAGCCACCCTTGTGTGTGCTAGTAAGCTGTGTGTGACTCCAGAAAAACAGGCACAGCAAGGCAAGACATTGTGTTGCTTCCTGCACCTCCTTCCTCCCTTCTTCGAGTTATTAGATGGACAGCTGCTGGAGACTGCTCTGTCCCTTCTGATCTTGTACTAGACAGGAAGTTCGGGGAAGCTGAGCTGAAAAGAGTTGGAGCCAGCTGTTCATTGGAGGAATTTATCAAAACTGGAGCAGACAGATTCTGGTCCAGTTTTGACAAATTCCTCTGGATGACTATATATGTTTTGGCAAGAATGTAAAAAAATTATTTGCTGGGAAATGTATATTTAATTGATCTGGATTAATTATCAAAAAAGCTGAAGGGTTTAATATTATTTTAAGCACTGCTGGGACTGCAGCTGCAATGCAATGCAGACTGTATCAGGTCATTGGCTCAAGGATGCCATCTCCTCCACTTCTTCCGGGTCTGGCAACCTCTTCAGGCATTGGACAGCTCCTGCTGGGAGCCCTTTTTTTGCTATAACAAAAAAAAGTATCTTTAGAATCTTGTGGTGGTGAGGAAGTACAAAAAGGAATCAAAAAGGCCGCCACACACAATCAAACACAGGTCAGCAGATTCATATTTATTGCCATGGTGTAGTGTGAATGTCAGCTCTGAGACTGATTGAGCTGCTTCTTTGAATGGAGTCGGTCCTTTTGAGATACATTTGCATTGCAGGAAAAACAGGTCAAATGCAGTACTGCATTTGAATGCATAAGGCATCAGCACTTGACTACATAAACCTGCTTTCTAAATCACTGAACAATAACACGTATGCAGCCATGTCCACATTTCTGTTTTGCATTTTTCAGCATGTTCTCAGTTAGCAAGTGTACTAAAAAATTAAATAAGTGTGGTAGCATGACACCTAGCCTGAGAAGGCTGAGAAGATGTCAACAAGGGCAGTCTACATAGTCTTCTCAGTAGAGGTTGTCCTTTAAAGTCTTCTACATACTGTACAAAACCTCTACATAGTCTTCTCAGTAGAGGTTTCCATTAAAATTCTTCTACATAATGAAGTGAAATGGGGGAGTCCCTTACACACAGATTTAAATAGGGCTTGTAGTCTGAGCCCCACTGATTCATACCTGTAACATGCAGATGATGACCCTACCTAACCTTGACCTGAGGTGTGCCACGGTCACTATGGTCAGTATGCAATAAGGGGGCATACTCAGAGTAATACTGATGGAAGGGGTACGGGAGGGTGGGATGACTCGATCATCCCGATGGGTGAGGGGGGTTTAAATGTGTGGGGCTCCTCCCACAAATCCAGCCAATAATTGGCCTCAAACGTATCTTACAGTTCTTCCTAAACCCAAAAAGGACCTGGGGGAAATCTCCAACTATAGACCGATCTCCTTGATAAACAATGATTTAAAACTCCTAACTAAAATTCTTGCTAATCGATTGAGCTCCTTCCTACATTCATAAGGATCAAGTGGGCTTCATTAGGGGTTGGCAAGGCCCCGATCAAATTAGAAGGGCCATTGATATTATCACTTTGTTGCAGTCAGGGTGGGATGGTGGGCAATCACAATCTGGGCTTCTGTTGTGCATTGACTTACAAAAGGCCTTTGATTCAGTGTCTTGGCAATATCTTTTCCAGCTGCTTGAGAGATGGGGGTTTGGCCCCCTCTTTCTGAACACGTTGCGGGCCTTATACACCACCCCGTCAGCACAAATTGGGCTACAGGGCCACATCTCTGATTCCATAGCTATCTCCAAAGCAACACGTCAAGGTTGTCCACTTTCCCGACTGCTTTATGCATTACCGATAGAGCCCCTAGCGATCCGTGCTAATGTTAATATTAAGGGAGTGGGCTGTGGTAGGCAGGAGCATAAGTGTGCTTTATTTGCGGATGACTTGCTCTTGCTTCTCACTTCACTCTTGACCACACTTCCTAATATCCTGTCATTGTTGACTCAATTTGCTGGGGTATCTGGATTGCAGGTCAATGCATCCAAATCATTTGCTCTTAATATTAATATGCCCCAGGAATTGTGGTCTCGGTTGTCGGAACATTTTGATTTTACCTGGTCCACGGAGGCTTTGCAATATC